GAGGCAGGGTCTCTCTGTAGCCCCAGCTGTCCTGGAACTCACTATGTAGACCAGACTGGCCTTGAACTCACAAAGATCCTCCTGCCTCTGCCTCCCCAAGTGCTGGGATTAAATGCATGTGCCACCACGCCTGGCGATAACTGTTTTGGAAAAAACTTTTTCATTTAAAAAGGGATTACCAGCCAGGCGTGGTGGCCTGTAGTACTAGCACTCAGGAAGTTGAGGCAGGATTGTGAATAGGAAGCCAGCCTGGGCACATGAAAACTGTTTAGAAAAAAAGAAAAAAAAATCAACAAACAAATTTAAGTTTGACCAAAAGCATAATTTGCTGTATGTACTTAGAATAAAGTGTGATGTTATGTTTTATGAACCTTAGAATTCCCCTCCTCCCCCAACTCCAGAAAGTTTTTTAATGACAGTGACTTGACTAGTCTCAAAAATTTCCTGAGGCCCAGTAGAGTTTGGGGGGTCTTTGGTTTTGGTACTGGTATTATTGCTGTGGCTCCTACAGAATGCCTGTATTAAAAATTGTTAATAGATTAATTTTGAGCTAGGAAATAATTTAGTAAATCTTAGAGTTAATTTATTAGTAATTTTTGTTTTTAGTTTTGTTCAGGAACCCTCTTAGTTTGAGAAAGTCCCCAGTTTGTTGCTGATATCATTGAACACTCCCTGCATTTCTTGCTGAGGTGTATTTGAAAGCTCACTATTTCCTTTAGCCACTCCCATAGCCCAGATAGACTGGGCTTTGTTTGTTTTTGTATTTTCTTTTTTTTCCAAAATCAGTTTAATAGTACATCTCTTTCTGGCACCGAACTAGATTCTAAAAGACACAGTGTTCTTCCTTGGCAAGCCTCTGTTAGTTAGGATCTTGTTCAAAGTGAGTTCCCAGAATATGGACATTTCTGTATGAAATATTAGAATATAATTCATTAAAACTAGAGTTTTACAACTTTTGATTATGTAATCCCTTTATTTTTCCATTAGTGAGAAAAATGTGTAAAGTCCAGCCTTCTGTTTAGGAAGTTATCTGAACTAGTGGGAATTTGAAGACTTTCTGTTTTCTAATGTCCCCTAGTTGGGAGGTTATTCATTTAATTGCTCACTTCAGTTAAACATTGACAGAATTCTGTTATTCATCAGAAATTGAATTAAATGCTGGAGGAACAACAACTAGAAAGGTGTTCCCCTTTTAAGGAGTCGATTAGAACTGACATAAAGAATGTCAGTTCTAATGGAATGGAATAGAACAGTAAATAATCAAACTGCAAAGGACAGAGATAGTGCAACAGTAGCCAGAAGAGAAGGTGATTAACTGTCTGGTGAGTTGGTGATCAGAGAAGTCTCAAAGAGGGCTAGACTTTTCATAGAAACAGTGTTGGCAACGTGGAGGGGATATGGACTCTCTGGGGAATAAGGCACACTTTTAGAAAAAGAAAGTCAGTAGATAGAGGAGCTCTGTAGAACGCTGCTAACATAATCTAAGAAATGATGAAGATTGGACCAGGATTTTAGCTACAGAAATGGAGTCAAGTAGATATTAGAATAAGGAATCAACTGGTTTGCTTTGTCAGATTGAAAACTGACCCCCCCCCCCGCCATCTTCCTTCCTTCATTTTGTTGTTTTAGAGGCAGTCTTGCTGTGTATACCCTGGCTGGCCTGGTACTATGTGGTCTAGGCTAGCCTTGAACTTGCAGCCATTCTG